CACAATTGTTGTAATTAAAATAAATATTGTTTTGGTGGAAGAAGCAGGAAGAAGACTATTATTTGTTTTACCCTTTCATGCTGTCAAATGAAAAAGTCTTATTCTTTTTGGCCTAAGGGTAAGAATTTGATTAGAATGCGTAAATTAATATTTTCTTTCATCAAGATTGAATGTCTCTATATAAATATACTGGTTTTTCAACTAGAAGGTTTAAGATTTGATTATGTTTGCTTTTAAATGTTGGGAGAGAGTACTGCTCATAGCAGAAAGGAGTTAGCTTTTCTAGTTCTTGTTCTGAAGGAAATTGGGTGATGTGAAGGCCCTTTCTAACTTTAATGTCTAATATTCGTTAGTGAGGCAGGCTTTGATGTGCAAAACAGCACGTAAAAAGACTCCCATCTATCTATTTGGCAACAGTTGCTTGACTTCTGCAGCTGTGTATCTACAAGAGTGAGATCACTATTTTGGTAATCCAGTGTAAAATCAGGGCCAGTGAACTGTTACCTGTTCAGCCTTAATTAATCTCTGGTTTGTCCAGCTTGCTTATCATCTGATAAAAATGAAGAAGATAGATAGATAGATCTGATGTGCTATTTTCTTTCTGACATTTTTTATTCTTGCTGTTCTGATTTCAACTACTTACACCTGAAATTCCTCATCAAATGACCATCCTAGCCTATATCCTAACAAAGCTCTGTACTTGATTTCAGAGGTTTTTAATCATTATAATGTATCGGTGTCTGCAGCTTAGCAATCATTTCCTCCAAAATAAGATTGTAAAGTGTGGGAATCAGTCAGCTGCCATTCCAGTGGCATCTCATTGTTCTGAGGAAAAGAGAAAAACAAATATTTAACTGTGGTGGAATTGCTGCCTTATTTGTATATCCTTGATGTTTTATTGGGATTTTAGTTATTAGATGACATATGGATAGAACAATTTTTTTTCAGAGGAGAAAGAGAGTAAAAATGTAGTTTATTTATTCTTTCACATATCCTTTCCTTTTATCTGCAGAGAGATTATTATGACTTACTTATTAATGATTTTCTTAACTTTGTGTTCTGTTAACACAACTCATATCGTAAGACCACTACCAGATATTCAAGTACTGCTTAAGAGAGATTTGTGTTTTCCTAAAGTCTACAATCTTCGAGCTTAAGCTTAAAAAAACCTGATTTTTAAATTTTTTTCCTGGACCTGCTAATACTGTCCAGATGACATTATCCATATCCTTCTCCCCAAATCAGGAGCTGAAGAATTCAGAAGTCTTCCTTTATGCTTCTCTTCAGTTCATCTTATTGCTTCTTCCTCAGGACTCTCTCAAGATATTGAGAGAGAGAAACAATGAGAGAAAAGGCAAGCTTTGTATTAAAGGAAAGGTGATCTGGCTTCAAAATTCTCTTCTCCAAATACACTGAATCCTAGTTAAGGTTTCCTGTATGGCATGGTATAGGCATTGTGCTGTCTAAACTTCAGGACTCTGCTTCGGTCCTCCAGAATGCCAAAGCGGTGACTACAGCTCTGAGTTAACAAGTAATTATATTACTGGTACACCTGTGTCCCATAGCAATATAGCATTAAGTGTCTTAATGTCCTCACTGAATAAGCATAGGGCCACAACAGCTCTTCCTTTCACAGTAGTAGCCTAAATACTCTCGCCTTTCCAGAAGTCTATATTCGCTCCAGAGGTTTTAAACCAAGTCCTAGTTGATACCGCATTCATCTGCAGGTAATATCAGTGTCATACATTACAATATATTAAACTTTATGGCACCGAAAACTGTGATTCTCTCCTTTTGCTCTTTTAGAATGCACTTAATTATTGCCCTCTATAATACTGTATTCCTAGACTGCATTTCAGTGAGTTTTTTGCATGGGTGTATATTAGTCTTGCCATCCACAGAACTTGAGGTTCGTGTACACAACATAGACAAATTTATTTGAACCCTTGACTCATTATTTGCAAAGCTTCCACCTACCTTACATCTGTGACTTTCAGATAGGAAGACAGGAGAACTGAGAACTCTTATATCAGGCAAATTATGAAGTTTATCATCTTTCATTTGGACTATGCTCAGAATTTATTTTTGGGGCATTTGAGTTTTGCCTGTTAATCAAGGTATTCATTTCTCTGTACATAGTGTAAACAAAAATTGTGAGAAAAATATGCATGCCTATGAGTATGCATGAAGTATATGATCCGAAGACACCAATACATGCCAATACCAGAGCTGAATAACAGTGTTGGCTTACCTTTAGGTTGTCTATATCATTGTAACAACATGGGCAACATGGGCATCCATACATATCTATTTGCATGAGGCGTTATATTCTGGCACAGACATCTGCTTTGAATGTTTCCAGTTCTGCAGCAAGGTGCCCACCTTGTAGCAGCTGCTTTAGTGCTCTTCAAAATCCATCATCCCTGTATATAGTCTACCAACTCTCCTCTCTCCTGTCCGCTGAGATTCCCTTCCTTACGAAAAAATCACAGCAGGAGATGGTGGCTTGGTACTGTGCTTATACCATTCATATGCTGCCCAAAAGTGTCTAGGATACGTGAATGGATCAAGCAGGCATTAGCAGCAAACAATTTCTGATTTCAAGTGGCTGTTTATACGCATTCACTGTGGAATACACGTATGGTCAAAATAACTCAAAAATCCAGTTATTGTTCTGCAACATAACATATAATTCATTTTTTTCATCCACGTCATTACTGTGATTGTATAATCGGTCTTGTTTGCCTGAGGATGTGAGCAAGATCAGATTCAGTATTCGGTAGATTATACTCTTCTATTTTGAAAGTTTCATGTTTCCTTTCTGAATCTAAAGATAAACCATTGTATAAATCATGCTTCTGCAAAATTCTAGACCATCCATCGCTTTGAATGATATTAAAATAATATAGCCAGTTGAAATTCAGACTTAATTTTTATTAGAACAGGAGAGCTGATTTTTATGGGGAAGATGGGTGGAAATATTAAACAATCATCAAATGTATGACTTAAAAAAGTTTTTGAGGGAAAAAAAGATGGATTGTTTAGGAAAAAATATTTTTCCCTCCATTGTCATAAAAGGAACAAAAAAAATTAAGGAAAGATACTTTTCCAAACAGGTCTAATGAGGAAAACTTGGGTTCTTATGGAGTAATGTTTTCAGATATGTGAAACCTCAGCTAGGCAATGCCTCAGCTAGTACACAGGCAAAAAGTACTATAGCATAGCGCAGTCTTCTGGATCAGAAACTATGGGATTTCCTGTGTTGTCTGTTATTACTATCAAAAAAATTGTTTCTTCTGAGCATAATAATGTAAATATTGGATTCATACATTAGTAAAGACTAGATTTTGTCATACAATAATAAATATGTGTTCCCAAAACATCATGTTCTCTAAGATTTGGTGAATGACAGCAAGTTAAAATATATCAGCTTCTAAATATAAACCGAAGTAATCAAAATAAATATATTCGTACTAGAAGTCATCACTGTTATTTGTAAAGTTCTGTGGAATCCATTTTATTTTTATGCAGCATTAAAAAGTTGTTAAAAGTTAGGTAAAATAAAATCCATATTTTCAATATATGCTTAGCCATTTTATGTTAGTACCTGATAAAAACAAACACAGAAACATTTGCTATGTTGGAAATTTGGGACTCATACTCTGGCCTGTTTGCCTGTGAAATCTATGGTATAGCACTCTCTCTTTTTTTCTTTTTTTCCTTTTTCCATATTTTTTTTTCTTTTCTTGAGCAATAGGAAATGGATTTCTGTCCTGCTGGAGTCGTTAACAGTTCAAAAATTTCCTGTTCTTCATAAAACATTATGAAGTGGAAATCTTTAGAAGTGAAAAGAAACAAATATCACACCTACTTCAATAACACTCCCCTTGGAAAGAAAGATTCATATTACTGCAGCAGTTAATAATTCAGTAGATGAAATAGAAAGAACTCTGACAACAAAGCCTGATTGAGGTGGAAAACTCTCCAAACCAGGCAGAGAAGGGATTTGTTCCCCGGTCTTCCTCAGAGGGTGGGTCATGAACATGTTTATGGACAGTTGCTGGGGAAGCAGGGCCCGGGTGAGGGGGCTTTGTTATCTTTGTCAAAACCAGCTCATGGACCTCCAGAAAGCTTTTACTTAGTTTACTTAGGATTTTATCATCAGAAATGTTTTCTTGAAGATTTTCTGTCCAGCTTTCTTTTCTGGGCTCCTTTCCCTGTGTCTTATCAACATACATGCTAACACTCATTGTTCCTCTTCCTTGGGATGCTGCTGACAAAAGATTTAAAACCAAATCTGCAAACCAAGAAAGCTTTGAAACTGCCCGCAACTCTTATGTGTGGAATCTGTGCTTTCTGCTTTCTGATTTCTGCTATGTCCAGCTACCACTACTTACGCAGCAGAAAATCATCATTCAGGAGTCGGAGGAACCTATGTCAAACTGCCAGAGGTGGCTAAGCTGCACTTGGTAGCAACTCCATTGCAAGATAGGAGGATCTATCTAGGCAATAGGACGAGGGATGACATGAAAAGAGGATGGTAGATGGAGTTTCTGCTCTGGAAGTTCTCTAACCAGCAGTTTTTGCCAGAAATGCTCCTTATATCTCCAGGTTCCCCTGGAGCTACAGACTGGCCTTGCAGAGTCTGGCTGGAAGCCAGTTTCCTTGCCTGCATTGTTCTGCAGTGACCTTTGAGCACAGCAGAGAATTTAACTTGTAAAACTTCTATTTAAAATAAAATGGACTGATGAAGAGACTACCATAGTAAACTCATTTGAGCAGAAAACCCAAAACACAGTGGTCACAGAAGAATATGCACAGATATGCATGCAGAAACTGTGAAGTGCCGTATTAGTGCAAATTCTCACAGCCAGCCTTTTGGCTTTACTGTGTTATCTGGGCAAACTGACTTTTACATTTATCAGATACTAAACAGAAAAGCTCTGTCTTTCTGTGTAATGTTAAGCTGCTCAGATCTGTCGTTTGCATTTCTCCTGTAGGTGAATGGTATTGATCTTCGAGGTGCTACCCACGAGCAGGCTGCAGCTGCGTTAAAAGGAGCAGGGCAGACGGTAACAATCATAGCACAATACCAGCCGGAGGGTAAGTAAAATAGTAAACTTAAGGACATACTGTAAAAGATAAGTGCTTTAAAGCCACCCATTTAAAAGGATGAGGCTGGGTGTAGCTAGTGCTTTTCCCAGCTATCATCAGAAGTCATCCAGAATGAAAATTCAAGTGACAATTTTATCTCAAAGAAGTGGCTATATTTTTATTGCAATTTTTGCTTTTAGAAGTGTTTTATGCAACTATAAGAACTGTCTTTAAATGTGCATATAATAAGACAGTAATCAATACTTAGTTTATCATTTTATTTTCCTTGTTACTTATTCTATGTTCTCTTCTTTTCTCTTTTCCTGGAGGTAGATAGTGCAAAAAAGAAGTTAACAATGAACAGTAAAGACAGGAAGATTTGAAGTTGCCAGAGAGATCCATGATCAGAACTAAAGGAAGATAATCTCTTCCTGGTGAATGCATGCAGCCCCCCCTGTTATTACTATTGGATGACTGTGTCCTCGTAGCTCCAGGAGAATTAGCCCTGGCTAGCAAGTATTTACAAGAGAAACATGCTAAATAAAACTATCAACAGAAAATTTAGCAAAATATCAGACATTTAGGGTGCGATTTATCTCACCCAGCTTTTGATGTCTAATATTTAGCTTCCTGGGGTTTCAGCTAGTCAATTGGGCTCTGTTTCAGTGGAGAGAAGTAGGCACTGATTGATCTTACCGGTTCAGAGTTAAGTGACAGAGCTTCCTCTCGTTGTCCACAAGCTGCAGTTTTTCCTAACGTGAATTCTCTGATAAGAGCTAGAGATCATTTTCCTTCACAGCAGTCATTACTATAACCCTTTCTGCAGGTGAATTCTGCCCCTACAGGTGTCTAGGAAGACTTGCTGGCATCATTTTATCAGTTTTCAGTAAACACTGAAATAGCTAAATTTAGAAGTGTTACTATGACCTCTCAACCCAAGTTGTTGATTCTGCCTCCGTATGTCTACCTAGATCACACGTAGGTCTCAGGTGAAAGAGTGCAGTTTTAATAATAGGTTCTGCTGGTCATTTTTTTCAGAAACACTGGTGAGATGAGTTAGTACTGCCAGAGTTTATGCCACATGATACCGTCTTTTGATTCTCTAAATTCCGGTGATAGCACACAAAGAGAAAAAAGTTGGTATTTTAGTCAAACTTATAGTTGTGCTTCAGACCTGGTATCATGCACCCATTTTTTTGTTTATCTGCACTTGAGTCATCAAGCAAAACAAATTAGACTACGCTAAGAAATGTGCAGATGAGAGCAAAGGAAATTGTAAAAGTGTTTATATTTTATTAAATGAGTGGAATATCTTCATATAAAAATGCATAAGCAATAATTAGAGTTATTTCAAAGAAAAAATATTGAAAAGCAATTTCATTACAGATAGCCATCCACAGTGGATTCTCAATAAAAACATGTTCCCATTAGTTGTGGTAGTCTTGTTTGCCGTCTAGTGATTTTATACTGCAATTATCTCCATGGTATCTGAGTACTTACAGCAATCAACAGCATTTCAGAGTTGTTCTGTGCCATTGTTAATGCACAAAACATACATTGCTTGACAGATTTTCCTATTATACTTGAACTTGTAGCTGACATACTTTTCCGCTATATTTTACCAGCTCCGTACTCATCAAATTCAGTTTTAGCAAATACGCAATTCACATACTGTTGATTAAATCCATTAGACATTATATTAGCTATTTATTCCCTTCTTCCTATAATGCTGCTCCATACACCAAGGGCCCTGTTAAGGGCAGACTAGTCCAGACTGCGTGGCTCACCGCCAGTGGAACACAGCCACTTTTCTATTTCACCCAAATCATTCAGCAGACAGGAGAAAGGGGGGCCAAATAAAGAATAGGGCCCTAAACTTAGCATTTTTATAGGAAATGATTTAATTTGTTCAGGTAGTGAGGGGAGCTTGAGTCGCATACCTTGTCATACCACCTGAGGTGCTACATAATCACCCAGCCTATCATGTCCTACCACTGAAGAATTTCATTTTATTTGGAGATGCTGGTTAATGGAAATTGTGTAGATATGGATGTAAAATGAAGTATTTCACTCTTAAAAAACCCCAGCAGCAAAGAAAGCTGAAGCAGGTTTCAAAGAGCTCTTTAAATAACCTTGGCAGAGAATTATTTAAGAATTTATGAATCACATAGAAAGACAAACGTATTCTAGCTGTATCAGCATAAATATTTAACTTATTCTGAAGATCCTGCACAACTCTTTTTCTCCTTTCTATGCAATTTTTACTTGATTCTTTATTCATCCTGTCTTATCGTGAAGCGTATATTGGAATTACTTTAAAAATGCTTCTAAAACCAGTAAAGTGCATAAGCAAAGTAGACCTATGGCTTGATTTTTCCATTTTCACACTGAAATCTCTGAGTTGTTACTACAGTCTCAGGATTTTAAGGAGATCTCATAATAGCCACTGCAAATGTTAACTGATACCTTTTTTGTCTTCTCCAGCTTATTAAACAAATGTTTAATTGTTGCAAACAAAAACATTCAATGAAAACTTTAGCCATTGATATTTCCGGTATTAAGTGATAATGATAGAAGTGCTAGTCAATTTTAAAAGCTAGCTGATGATTAGCAATTAAAACTTTTAGTGAGAAAAATTTATGTTCTAATAATTTAGTGTTTATATGCTAAAGAAAAAAACTACAACATACTTACCTTTGCAATAATATAATGTCTCCAAATTGAGTAACGTACTTCACTGTGGGAACAAGATGAGATGAATACTATAGTAACAGCTTTCAAAGTTTGAATTTTCCTTTCCTTGCCTTAAACAGTCAAAAGTTTATCTGAGCCTCGTATGAACTCCCCTCACATTTATGTGTATAGACTTGGCAGCAAATCTCTTGAGAATGGCAACTTCTGCAAAAAATCTGGGGCTTGCCTTCGACTTAAATAGCTTTTCCTCTTGATAGTGTGGCACTTTGGTTTCTCGTCTTGTCTGGAATAAAGAAATGCAAAGACTAGCAAAGATAAAATATCATAGCACCACAAAGTTCTCTAAATGCTGTCAGAGTTGTCGTTGGTGATGGACTTGCCTATCCCTCAAAAAGTGATGTTGGAAATAGGAGGTAAATCTGGAAAAGAGCACAGACAGTGAACAAAGGGAGAGTGGAAGATACAAAGAGTGATTTGCATGAGAAGGAGAGCTGGATGGAAGTACAAGAGATAGAGCAAAGAATGGAGAACAATTCCTTTTCCCTAGCTCTTCTGCTCTTTAATCTCTGTTTTCCTCAGGTACGTCACCATTATTTCTCTCATCTCTCTGAGAAACAGAATAAAAGATAAAAGAGGTATGAAAGTCCAAACAGAAATGAAAATTCTGTGAAAAAAAATACATGGAAGCAAGGGAGAAAGGGATCACAGACGTTAAAAAACAGAGCTCAACAGTGAGGACAAGAGCTATAACTGGATTTTCTTTCATTTTAAAAACTGGAAATTACCTGTGCACTGTATCTTATGTATTGTGTAAACAGAGGTCAAGTAGGGCTGAGCATCATGATCTGTAATGATCATTGTCACTCTGGTTCCTATGGAGGTTTATGCATGTATTCAGTTTTAAGTACACTATCTATCCTGTGGGCTTCAAAGAGACAACTTTGGTGTATTCACATGCTGCTTGCAGCTTCTGCACACAGTTTACATGGAATTAAAGACAATTTAAGGACCAAAACCACTTAGAACAAAATTAGAAGAGGGATCGATCACTTACAATTAGCTTTACTCTCCACTTTTTAATATTCTGAGAAGCATTTTTCTCTTCTCCATGCAGAGCAGCTCTTTCAGATATCTTCTGAAACATTGTACAAACGTAAAGCTAGTGAGTAGGCACTTCTCTTTTGCAAAATAAAAGCTTGACCCTGAGGAATAATCTTAGAAGGGTGGAGCAGTGTGTCTTTACTAAACAATTAATTGGAAATTACAATGGGAATATATACTGCGCAGGGAAATATTTTTTACACTTCTAGGCTTTTGTGCAGTACCTATTTTGATTGTAATGGCAGCAATGATAAACTACAGCCCAGTATAGAAGGAATTAAGAAAAAAGTATTTAGTCAGTGAAACTGAAGGACATTTTGAAATAAAGGGGAGCTTTGTCTGAAATACAGACAATTTGTCCTGAAAGTCATGGGTTGGGAGTTGGGGGAGGGGAGGAGAACTGGACTCCATAATGGAACTGCTGAAAAAGCCTTACTTTACATTTTATGTTCAAATGCTGTTAGTCCTTCCCATTGCAGCACTGTGAAAGGGGTAGATTTTAGTCCTAAGTTTGTTTTTTTTTTTGCAAATTATTCCATGTCAGTGACTTGTAAGCTGTGCTGCATTGCAGTGTCTTTGCAGCTATTCCTTTGCAACAATCCCTGGAAAACCCTTGAACCAGTCAGAAGTTTCATGTGCTTTAAATCTTTCAAGCAAGCCAATTAACTTCCTATCCTAACAGCTTGCATATGGGGAAAACGTTCATCAATTAGAGTTTGATTAGACTAGCTGACAATGCAGAGGTCGAAAAGTTGTTACAGCGAGAGAATTCCTGCTTTTTCCCCTTTTGAGTTAGCTATTAGCTGCTTGCTTAGTGACACTGCGCGTGGTGAGGAGGTCCGAGCCAGGCGTCTGGTGAGTGACTGAGCTTTAGTCGGAAAGAGAATCTCAGACAGAGAGATGCTGTGATAAGCAGCATCTTTCTTTGCAGACATCAGCTATGGGGAAGTTATTGGAGAACTGTACCTACAATTACAAGCATCTCATGGCAGCGATGGTAATAAATTCCCTTTTCAGTTCTTTTGTTCCTGAATCTGGGAGGCTCAGAGAGTGTATTGTAACAGACCCAGCTTTGATGAGCTGCATCAGCTTTTACAAAAGCGTAGTCCTTTTCTTATACCCTCATCTGACCTATTAATGCATGAAATCTGTTACTTTTAAAAAATCGGAGTGAAAATCTAGGAATCACTGTCAAAGGTCTCACCCTGAAAAAA